GTTCCCTCTACTGATCTCCAGACCTCCTTTTCTGCAATTTCATGGCTATCTGCTAAATTTTTACATTGTTGCCTAAGTTTTGCACACCAGTGTAATATATATTTATTTTAAATTTAATGAATTTTAAGGACATTTTCTAATGTAAAGCATACAAGTGTTTTTAAACATGCATTATTTTATAACTAGAATTTTTGAACATACATTACCATGTGCGTCTTTAAATTTAATTACTCAGAAAATCTGTTAATTTTGTTTTATTTTTTTTTTGTTTGGAAAAGTACTTCGTTTCATAATACGTTTCACATCTTTGCAATGCACCAAAAATCCCTTCAGGCGTATTTTTTCGAGTCTTTTATAAAATTTTTCTAGCCATCCATTGCTACCTAGAAATTGGTCTTATCCCAATGCCTTTACAAATTGAAGAGTTTTCTCTATTACGAAAGGTCCAGAGATCGGAACATTTTCATCTGCATTGTGTGTATCCATTTCAAAACTGCCGCGTCAACATCTTTATAGACACATAAACAAGAATTCGATGAATCATAATTTTGTACTTTATCTCAATTTTTTTAAATAGTTGATAAACTGTTTGAAGAAATACCAAATTTTAAAGCAATGTCCTTTTTTGAAGCCCTTATCCGCTTCCTGGAGAATTAAATTTTTTTCTTTGATGTTCAAGAACTTACGAGCAACAAGAAACGAAATTACGAGTACAACTACAAATGAACAGGAACTAGTTCAAAGATACGGGACACGATACAACTCCACTGAGGGTGGAAGGGGATATCGAAGATGTGTCTAGTGAACTGTACAATGTTGGTTACAGGTTGTACTTCTTGGATGAAACGCCCAGAATTCTGTTGCTCTCTGCGAGTTAAGCACCTAATAAAACTAGTTCAAGATTTATGACTAACATAAAATGTGTTAAGAGAGAATAACTTGGAATGTCCAGAAATACTTTAAAAATAGAGAGAAAAAAAATGGAATCACAAGGAAAAAAGTTCGTTATATAGAAAATGCACTTCCCTATAGGGAGGTTATTTTATGAAGAAAATCGTGAAATGTCCTGGGGAAAAAGTTCGCTATATAGAAAAATTCGCAATAAAGAGGTTCGTTATATGGAGGTTCGACTATATATATATATATATGTTACCGGCAAAGTATGAAATCCGGCAATGTATGGCATGCCTAAAACTAGCAGGCAATGAATGAAATGATTCTTATTTCACACATTACCTAGGAATTGTATAGAATGCCTAATGAGAAACACCGGCAAAGTATTAAATACATCTCCAATTAGTTTCAAATTTTGCGTGGCTAGAAAAGAAACTTTTGATGCGTGTCTAAAGCTTAGAATTTGTCAGTTGCACACTGCGGTTTGTTCGGGAGTGCCTAAGTACTCAATTTTATTTAAACTTGTTCAACAAAAAATTGGTTTTTTCCTGTGCTGTATGAAATGAAGGTGCAAGTTATAGTGTTGGAGAAGGAGTCATGGTCTGTAGCAGGAGTTGGCAACCTATGGCACATGTGCCACATGTAGCATGCGGTACAATTCTGAGTGTCACTTTGCACTACTCAACAAATTTGTTAAATTTTGAGTTATTTCTAAAATGCCCTACTGAAAATGTTGTATGCTGAATCATATTCATCGATTGGTTTGACATGCTACAGCTAAAAGGTTGCCGACCCCTGGTATGTCGACATAAAACATTTATTCGACGACGAGCTGCCCCAAATTCGAATTAATGCTGAAAAAAAGTTTTCTCTTAACCGAAATTACTTACTAGAAGTAATCTCAGTTACTAATAATTGATATACAAAATGCCTTAATGACTACTAAGTAGGAATCCAGGGACTATTAATTACTGAAAATCTATGATGCGATGATGTTTGTGAAAAATAAACTCATTTAACCTGTTAAAGAAGATGTCAGTACCATACAGCTGTGGTCCCCCGCTCTGTGAATCAAGTGGTATCGGGCCACTCAAGGAAAATTAAATTATTTTCATTTCATTTACTGGGGTGTATTTTTCTCGTGTGTGTGTGACTTTCCATGGAAATCACTTTATATTTCATGTAAAATCACTTTACATTCATTTTTTGGTGCAACTGAATTTTATTCTAAAGGCATGTTTCAATACAATTAAATTATTAAAATCAACACAATTTAAAATTTAAATAACCAACGTCCCACCCTCAGCGGTAAAATTATCAAATGTTGACCGGTCCGGAAGATAAAAAGATTGGAAGTGCTGCTATACAGTATTACGTCACGGATTCTAAGGACGTAATAGAATTCTTAATGAACTTTCAACCAAATACAAAAATGTTACTCGTTATGATATTGAACTGTACATCCACCTTTGTGAACCTTGTCAAAAAAGCAGAAAATTATTTAGAAAAAGGTATTGTTGTGAAACCTGTTTTTTTTTTTCCTTCAAATGCAATATATTGGCACTTGTATTGAGTGGGGAAGGTTTCTATCGACTTGGAACTTCTGCAGGAATTTTAAAACAAGTATATGTGAAATCACAATTTACTTTATGCTCTAAGAACTTGCTTAGAATCGAAGATATTTCTGACCATGAAATTCCTCTTCTGTCAGTTGCAATGGCTCAGTCCAATGGAAGTGGCCAAGGATTTATCAAATGTATGTGTAAAACAAAGGATCAACATAAGAATTGTTTTTGCATGAAAAATGTAATGAAATGCAATTCAGAATGACATTCAAGCCTACTATGTTGCAACGAGTACCGTAAAATCCAGCGTATAATGTGCACTTTGAACATAGAAAACAAGATCGAAATTTACGGGTGCACGTTATATGTCGGGTATAAAAATGAGAGCTTTAAAAATAGAAAAGATAAGCATAGAAAAAAAATTAAGCCTCTCTATATATCGAAATACTGTTTATTTAAATGAAATGGCATTCATTATGAACTTAAAGAATTAGTTCTAGAAATATACTTTTTTTTTTGTAAAACTTGAAATAATGCCTTGACTAAATGACTTCAAAGCATAAGAGCATTGCACACGTTCTGGTTCCTCATAAGGAAAGGGGTGCGCATTATACGGCGATTATACCTAAAAATTAAAAATTGCAACTTGTAAATATTGAAGCGCGCTATACGCCGGATTTTATGGTAGGTTAAATTTAATGTTTTGTTTTTTATATGAAAATTTTGTTTTTTCTTTAATAAGAAAAACAAAAAGTTTGCTTGGTACAACATTCCTTTACGTATTTTGAATAATTTTTTTTAATGGCACTCTCAGTATTTTGTCAGAATAACATTTGTATTTTTAGGAATGGGCATCATTGATATAATAGCCTTATCACGATGCTTTGCCTAAGGACAAATGATGTATGTAATACATGTATGATATGACACATGACATGATGTTTGTAATAAATGTCATATTTCATATTTTGCCTAAAAACGTCCGGCATTCTATACAATACCTAAGCATTTCCTACCTTGTCGGTAACATATATAAATACATATATATATGTAAGGATAATTAAATTAGATTAAAAAATTAAATTTCACAAAACATGTCATATATATATATATATGATGATGATGATTTGGATAATCTTTATCTTGCTGCAGTCGTTGAAAAGAAGGAGGAAACATTTTAGTCCACGTTTTTTAATCAGGTTTTCACATGCAAAACAAAAGACATGGTAACAACACAAAAAGAAACACCCGCGGATATTGAAACAGTACCCAAAAGCGTTTGTTCCAGAAAAAAATATCAGGTTTTATTGCTTCTGAACCGGAATCTTTGAGGATTTTCATTAAGGTATCCGACTACGTTCGGAAACGTGATTTTAAAAAGTGCATAAATGGATAATTTTCATGATATTTAGTGTCACTTAGATTAGAATACATGTATAAAATTGTTTTAAGGACATTTTGACAAAAAAAAATTATTTAAATACAATATTTTGGCAAAAATTAATTTTGAATAACCTGTTTTCAACATGCTCTCCTTTTATAAAAATGGCTTCTAAAATAATAATATTTTGTGTGTGTGTGCTTATATAAAGTAAAGACTTCTCCAGAGAGTCTGAACTATTTTTTTTGAAAAACTCACATTATTTTCAGAGTTACAACCAATTGAAATGATTATCGACGTGTTTTTCTTAACATTTCTCCCCTCTATTATCTTAAAACATGGATAAACCCACTTCTAAGATATATATTTCAAAAATTCTAGTTGAGCCTCTGTACAGAGGTCTGAGCTATATACAGGCAAAATATTATTATAATAGAAGCATTTTTCACAAAAGGAGAATATTTTGAAAATGGGTCATTCTATATTCATTTTTTGTCAAAATATTATACTTAAATAATTTTTTATTGTAATAATATTCTTAAAAAAAAACAATTTTATATACATTTTTGAAGTTATACTTCTTTTGGGGCGTTAGAGAAATACGATGAGGGTGAATTTTTACGATGCGCGCGCACACTGTCACGGATGCGAAATTGCTTTGTCTAGAAATATACAGAAAGGGACAGATCACTTGCCACCTTCAAAATTTTCAGTAAAATATTGCTCTTCACTTCCCTGAAGAAGGGGAAACCCGGGTTTGAACCGGGGACCGCTCAATCTGCAGTCGAATACTTTACCACTGAACTATACACCCCGTGTAAGCGAAACTTTGCTTTGCGTTCAATAGGAACGCATACGAAAAGGCTTTGTCTTGGAAAAATACAGAACAGGACAGATCATTCCCACCTCTGAAATTCTCAAAAGAATATTTCTCTTTAATTCCCTGAAGAACAGGACACCTGGATTAGAACCGAGGACCTCTCGATCAGCACTCGAATGCTCAGCCACTGAGCTATAGCCCCTCGTAATCTAAACCTTTGTTTTGCGTTCCCTAGGAACGGATACGAAAATGCTTAGTCTAGAAATATACAGAACGGGAAAGATTATTGCCGCCTTCGAAATTCTCAAAAAAAAAAAAAAAATTTTTCTTTACTTCCTGAAGAGGACACACGGGTTTGAACCGAGGACCTCTCGAACTGCAGTCGAATGCTGTACCACTAAGCTATACCCCCCGTCAGGTGACCTTTGCTTTGCGTTCCTTAGGAACGGATACGAAAATGCTTTGTCTAGAAATATACAGAGATCGTTCCCGCTTTCGAAATTCTCAAACAAAATATTTCTCTTCACTTCCCTGAAGAAGAGGACATCCGGGTTTGAACCGGGGATCTGCAGCCGAATTCTGTACCAATGAGCTATATCCCCGTGTCTGCGAACCTTTGCTTTGCGCTGATTTGTGACGTCACTACTAAAATAGAGAGATCGTCCTTCGCCTACGAAGCTTCTCTGATGCATTTGTTTGAAAACTTTTTGTTATTAAACTAAATATTCTTACAGGGAATTAAAAAAAATAGTAAATTAATCTTTCAATTGTGTTTCATGTACATAAAACATAAGAGTAAATATTAGTTTACCTATTTAAATAACAATTGCAAGTATATGATTATGGATGTAGTTACTACGAACTCATTGCGATGAACACAAACACATTTATTAAATTGTAGCAACTTATAAGAGCCTTTTGTATTCGTATATTTATTTTTGAAGTTACCCTTTTTTTTGGGTAAATTTTAACGATGCACGCGCACACCGTCACGGATGCGAGCGCATACCTTCACGACACCGATGCGCGCGCACACTGTTGTCTAATATTTTAACATGCCACTTTTTTGTTGCTATGGGACTGATATTTGGGGGATCATAATAACTATTGTTATATGCCATATCTGTTGGAACGCATTCCCCCCTCTACAGCTTTTTGGCCAATACCTCGGCACTCGAGCCTCCCAGTCTATTAGGACCCTCTCTATCTGCTCTTATTATAATTTCATGCTCATAGGGCTATTTTTTCTAAAGTTTTTAATTGTCTTAAACTTTTTAAATTTGTTTAAGGTATCCGCGACTACGTTCGGAACCGTGATTTTGCAAAAGCGTGTAAATGTATAATATTTATGATATTTAGCGTCACTTAGAATAGACAATGTATACAAAATTGGGTTAAGAATAGTATTACAATAAAAAATTATTTAAGTACAATATTTTGACAAAAAATTAACTTAGAATAACCTTTTTTCCAAATGTTCTAATTTTGTAACAAAAATACTTCTATTGTATTAATATTTTGCTGTATATAGCTCAGATCTGTGTACAGAAGCTCAACTAGAATTTTTGAAATGCATAACTTGGAAGTCGGTTTATCCATGTTTTACGAAAACAGAAGGGAGAAATTTTAAGAAAATACGCCGATAATTATTTCAAATGGCTGTAACACTGAAAATAATGTGAATTTTTCAAAATTCATTGTTGAGCCTCTGTACAGAGGTCTGAGCTATATACAGGCAAAATATTAATACATTAGAAGCATTTTTTACAAAAGGAGATTTGGAAAAAGGTTATTCTAAGTTAATTTTTTGCCAAAATATTGTATTTAAATAATTTTTTTTGTCATAATGTCCTTAAAAAAATTTTATACATGTATTCTAATCTAAGTGACACTAAATATCATGAAAATTATACATTTATGCGCTTTTTTAAAATCATGGTTCCGAACGTAGTCGGATACCTCAAATTCACAATATCTTGGCTCCTGTTCGAGTCTCGGACTTGATATTTGTCGTCGAGACCCATTCAGTCATCCGCTTCATTCCCATTGTGTAGGCATGGGGAGGGCTTAAGCACTAAAATATCATGCACCCATGTTAATCCTATGGGGACTAGAAAAAATTTCACCTCCCTAAGGAATTGAGCTTGGAATTTGATTTTTGGAGGTCCGGCATATTTTCGTATTAGAGAGCGCGAGCTTTACGTGGAATTGGTCTCCCTCCCCTACAGGGCTTCCCCAGAAATAACTCGAATCCTGTGCCACCTTGGTCGACCGCATCTACTGGATTCTTTCTATGAGCATCCTAGATATATTTTTTCAGGACCATAGCCCCATTTCTTTACCCATATTTAACATTTTGAAATTATTTTAAAGTTATAATTTTTTTAAATCCCGCATAGCTTCGAGGATTTTTGAGATTCGATAAAGAAACTCGGACCATAGATTCTCCTCGTTGAGCTGTTTCATCTGTTAAAATTCGTTTGTAGATAGTGGGCTTAGGGGTGGGCGTTATCACTAAAATTAGAATCCCCATGTTTTTCTTATGGGGTTCGATCTTTTGATGGTAACGATATTACAGAGATAGAAGGATGAAACGTTGGGATCACCTACTACTCTGTGTATCGTTGGGATGTACGAGACCATTTACGTCACAGTTGTTCCCCTCTGCGGGGAGTTAATTACGCTTTCTTTTCCCGAGCTAGCGCCGCCCCATTTGCAACTACAGGCTCCGAACCGGTTCTAATGTATTCCTCTTGTGTTTGCTCACACCCAGGCCCAGTTTCGAGTTGCTGGGTGAGTGAGTGTTGATTTTTGGAGCAAGAGCCAAGTTTGGCTATACTGCGTCACACATTCATTAATATAGTAAAATATTATCGAGTTGCTGGGTGCCCTGCTTCTATTTTATTTAATTGTTTTAAATGTTTTAATTATTTTAAAATGTCCATAACTTGGGGGCTCTTCAGGTGGATGCCTTAATTTTCTCTGGAACGATTATTCCCACCGAGTCATTCAATATGAGGTCTCAGATGTCACATTCAGTTCACTTCATCTACAGTCAGGGGGGTTCAGATACAATCTGGAACCCCCCTGTTATTGGCCCTATTGTCCCTGTGCAGGGGTGTTTAAATTCAGTTAAATCATGATTATCTCAGGTTTGGCTGGTCCGATTGGCTGAAGGTTGGTATCGTTCAAATCTGCTCGTGACCGCCTTTCTTCCTTGGCCCAGCTTGCCCTGCTAAAGATTTTTAGAACGATTTTAATCTTGTTACATCAAAGAAGTAAACATCTTACGTGCGTACATAAGTACACACACACTTTTTTTAAATCTAAGTGACACTAAATATCATAAATATTATCCATTTATACGCTTTTGAAAAATCACGGTTCCGAACGTAGTCGGATACCTTAATGTCTGATTGAAATTAATTGATTAATACCGTGTCTGGTCGGAATAGTTGGATGAGGCAATATTGTATCATTTTATTTTGAAAAGTTCGAACGTGGAAGTTTTTGCGACGTAAAAATTGTAAAAAGGATAGGTGGTAAATTAAAAAAAAATTAACTATCATACAATGCCTCGAACGGCTCAAGCCCATCATAAATTAAATAAAATCCCCCAATAAAAATTGAAATGGTGAATTATTACACATATATGTAAAAGAGAAAACAAGGGATATATATAGTGTTAGAAATATAAAGGAATAAATAATAAAATCCCAAATTGTCTCTCAATGAAATACGGCAATAAATATTTGAAAGAAATTGAAACTACATCGAAATAGAAAATAAAACTTAACAAGTCTGAAAGGAATTTTTGTTTTAGAGCCGAATAGGAGGGCTTAAACTTCCCCCTTTGGGACTCGGTAGGATAACTGGAAAATTTCATACAGAAAAAGAAAAAAAGTACAATAGGAAAACTTTAATGTGAATGTAAAATAAATTAACCCATTTCTTACGCAATAAATATCATACAATTATTTTTTTTAAAAAAATTCAAAATATTTTATTTACAGCGAAATTCAAAGAAATGAAAATCTTGAAATGATTGACAAATTGTTATTATCCAAGTATAGATCTTAAATACACCCATGGACAAAAAAATTAGTGCACTAAGAAGGAGTCGTCAAAATGAAAGGAAATTTTACATATGTAATGACTACTTTGATATAAGTAAATGATTAGACTATCAAAGAAAAAGGATCATTTATTTCAGAGAAAAATTCAAAAGCACGGAGGATTTAATACCCTGTTGAACCCCCTCTAGCGCGAATGCACGATGCGATACGATTGGGCATTGAGGCATACAAGTTCTGTATGATGTCTTGAGACATTTCGATCCTTATTTGCTGTAACCTTGCCTCTAGTTCGTTCAAACTCGTGGGATGCCCAACTCGCCGTCCCAAATGACCCCAGATAGGTTCGATTGGAGACACATATGGTTATCGGGCAGGCCAAGGAAGGGTTGCAACAGTGCGCAGACAGTCTTGTGACACCCTTGCCGTGTGAGGCCGAGCATTGTCTTGTTGAAAAATGGCTTCTCGGAGACGTTGCATGAGTGGCAACACATGTGGTTGCAGGATGTCATGGACATACCACTGGGCTGTCATGGTGTCATGGATCAATACTAGGAGTGACCGTGTATTGTAAGCAATGACACCCCATACCATCACACCAGCTGTGGGAACGGTGTGTCTCTGTAAAGCAAAGGCAGGATTGAGGCGTTCACCCCGGGGTCTCCACACACGAACACGATTGTTATCACTGCTCACTGCTGAGATTGAATTTGCATTCGTCGCTAAAGACGTCCTGGTTCCATTCCGCTGCAGTCCAGTTTCCTCATGCGCGGCACCAATTAGAGGTATCGATGGGTGGGCGTCAAGGGCAGCACACGTAATGGGTACCGCGATCCCAAATGTCCTTCAGCCAGGCTCATTCGTATGGTTCGAGAAGACACAGGGGCCCCTAGTAAAGATGCTACCTGTGCTTGGATGGCGGCCGATGAAGCAGTTGGCTGTACGAGTGCATTTCTGACGATGTGGCGGTCTTCTTGACGACTGGTCTGCCGAGGGCGTTCTGAGCCTGGTCTTCGTGTAAATGACATCTCTCGGATCCACTGGTCCCAACATCTCCTCACAACACAATCAGAGAGGCCTAGCTGAACACCCAGCTTCCATCATGCCAATGATTTTCTCCCTCTCAAACTGTGACAGCTGCTCATATTGTCTTCGAAAACGGCGTAATGGCATGTCTACCTCATCTCTTCCTTTGTAAACGATTCAGAACACTCAAACAAACTTTGGTTACCTGTTTTATACTCCACAAGGACGTTAAACTCCCTCTACCGGCTATACGTAATGGGCAATCCCGCTGCATTTCTAATCATTTGCATATCTCCCCGACATGTACCTTCAC